ATTCTATGGGAGAGTCTGACTGTTGGGTGCCTGCTTGCCTGCTTTGCTGGCTGGGTTAGATTTCCCCATTGGAAACAATGGAGGGAATGGGGACAACCTGTTTGGGTGCCCATAGCATTGGACCGACTGGTCCAATGTCTTTGGGACTTGGGAGTTTCTGTGGGGAGAGGCTCCAGAAGCTACCCTGCAAATTTGGAGCCTCCCCCTGAAACCCCTTCCCCCCCCCCCCCCCCCCCCCCATCCGCCGCAGCAGCACAGTCACACTCAGCCACGCGCCCCCTGCTCCTCCGCGGGGCTCCGGAGGAGGGAGAAGCCAAGGGGAGAGCCGTCGACTTTCTGCCCCATTGATGGGGGGGCCGGGGCGGAAGGCTTTCTTGGCTTTTCTGCTGCGTCCTTTTGTCTGGGACCCGGGAGCAGCGGCGCCCAAAGGACAGGCTCACTGAAATGTCCATTAGCCACCACGGGGAAGAAACAATCGAAACACACGCTCGCCTCGCCTTCTCTCAGGGAGGACACAGACGTGGCGGAAGACGTGGCTGTTCTCGCAGAAGGGGGGGCAGGGGCTGGGGGGGGGGCATCTACGGTCCCTGCGGTGGCGGCGATGGGCCCGGCCAGGGGGCTCTGGTTTGCTGGACGGTTCCCCGCCAGGAGGCCTCGGGACAGAAGGGGGAAGGCCTGGACTGGAGGGGACCACGCTGACTTCCATGCTGGGAGCGGTCCTGATCCGCCGGGTCGTTCTGGGGAAACTTTTCTAAAAGGAAAGGAAAAAGAGTGCCCGCCCAGCAGCCCACAGGGACGTGCCCCCGAAATTCTGGAGAAGCCGCCTAAGAGAAGGGGCGGCTGGGCGGCGCAGGTGCAGTAGCGCGCAGGGGCCTCCAGGGCGACCTCGGTGGGCGGCGAGTGGTCCCCTCTCCCGGGGCGTTTTGCCTCTTGGGTGTCGCGCCTTCCTATCCCAAGGCCCTCGTCAATCGAGGCCGCCTCCCTCTTGCCCCTGGGGGGCCTGCCCTTGGCCTGATGCCCCGTGAAGAGGATGATCCGGGTGGAGGAGGAGAAGGGCCCGAAGAAGAGCCTTCCGCACAAGGGGAGCTGCCTACCCTGGGGGCCAGGAGGCCCGCAAAGAAATTAGTGGTTCTCTCCCCGCCCCCAATAAACCTGTCACCAGGCCCCGGGGCCAATTTAGCCGGAGAGACAGATAGATCCGTTAAATGAAGAACCATTATTTTCTGTTAAATTCAGTAATGTCTACCTGCTCCTAAGAAATGTCCCCACTGAATAAATAATAACACCGCTGCCTTGCTCATGGTCATAGTTGCTAAAGGGACATGCCCTCCCCCCACCACCCATGATGGTGAACTTGACTCCCCCAGCCAGAGTGAGCAAAGCTGGGCACACTTGCCATAGAAAAATACACACCGCAGAACCATATGGTTGAAAGGTCTAATCTCCTGTCACACAGAGAAGAGGTGGAGAACTCCCCCCACTTCCACTCACAGTATGAATTGCAATTCTACAATTCAGTCTGTGCCAGGACAGCTATTAAGGACAAAGTTATACTATCAGACCAATCAAATGATAAAGCTTTTGCTGGACTGTAACCCTTCAAACTGCAGGGGCAGGGGAAGAACTGCATGTTTGAATACTCCCTGACAGCTAAAGTTTCCTGTATATAGAAGTCTGGTTTGTCCTGGATAAGCGCCTAACCTTCACCTTGATTGCTAGTGTTCTCTATGAGGGAGATTTCTTTCATTGTTGTTAGGACAACAAGCCATTCCTCCCTGAAGATGTACAGCCCAGTAGAAAATATTGATTAAAATGGTCCTAAAAGGTCAGAGGTATCTCAGGTTGTGATTCCATTATTTTCAGTAGGAAAAACCAGCAGGGTGAGTGGCCCAAAATATCCCTCCTACCCTGAAAAGAGGTGTAACCAGATGATAACTGGGACAACACCATACAATGAAACCCTCTGGAACTGGAAAAGAACTAGAAAAGCAATTCATTCCAGGCAACATGTTTTAAACATGAGAACAGGTTCCTAGGAGTTACTTTCATGGCAACAAGCAGTGCTATGGAGATTATATGGTTGCCCAGCTAAGAGCATTTGGCCATAGATCAAAAAAGTTTAGTTTTCATTGTTTTAATCTTGAAGTACAATTACCTTATGCAAATCAATATCCTTCACTGGGCCAATGCTGTGCTTTGGGATGTAAGAGAAAGTTTTCCCTAAAAGTCACCTTACATGGAGCATGAATACACCAGTAAACACTTCAGTAGAAATGGTAGACATTAATGGCTAAATAAACAGGATAAAATCCAGGGCACCACAGACAAGCACACATGTCTCCAAGTGTTTGGGGGCATACACGCTTCCTTTACACTGTTTCCTGCAGACGAGGAAGAAGAGGAAGAAGAAGGATTGGCTCGGAGTCTCAGAGCCACTTTTTCCCCTTTCCCTCCCCACAACAGACACCCTGCAGCAAATAACAGGCAAACAGAGAGAAAATGTAGCAGAGATGTTTTTATAACTTGACATTGTGAGCCTAACCAGGCATGCCCTGAATGCAAGATACATGTCCCATCATGCAGTGCATTTATTTATTGGACTTATAGCCCACCCTCCCCTGCGTAGCAAAGCTCAGGGCAGGTGACAACAAAATCAAAGCAATACCATAGATTAGTTGTCAAAAACAATTACCAAACTGATAAATTACAATAAAATCACATGGAGGTATATGGCACAAAATAGCATAAATTATCCAATGTGAGGTCATACAGACTGCATGTTGATGGAACTGGTGCGATGACCAAATGAATGGTCGAGGGTGGGGTGGGGGGTGGGAGGCCAATGCAGATGGAAAACTTTGCTGCTTCAATTGTGGGCCTGGAGAAACATTTCTGTCTTACAGGCCTTGTGGAACTGCATCAAATTCTGCAGGGCCCAGCCCTCATCTGGAAGAGCGTTCCACCAGGCCAGGGCCAGACTGAAGCTAGAGGAATGCATGTATTACCTCCTCTGTGGGAGAAGATAATACATGCATCATTTCAGCCATAATCCCATTAATGGGAATCAAGGCCACACTGGTACGTATTTTGG